ACTTCCTTGGAAGTTTATGGCATCAGATTATGCCCTCTCTCCCTACCCACTTCCGGTTGCTGCCCTCTCCTGCCAGCAGTCTCACTCCTTTCATTAATGACTTCAGCATCTTCTCACGTCCTTCAGTGGTCCCCATTCCTGGTTACTTAAAATTCAGATGGCTTATTCACCCAATATCCCAGCTGCTTGCTCTTCAACCAGTTCACACGAATGACCTTTTCCTCTCACCCTGCCTAACTATGCTCTTCCTTGGTCCTGCTCTTTCATGCTACACACCATTCTATGCACCACCTTTAACATGTCACCCTCCAGGGCCAGACAGTGGCACAGCAGCAATACAATTGGGCGCACATGGGAAAGTCTCAGATTCACTTCCTGGGGCCTCCTTGTACACATAGCTGTTCTCATGATCCAGGCTGGCTGAGGCTGCAGTGGGTTGTGGCGTGAGGACCCTGTTGAGGGTACCAGTCTCTTTCTCATAGAAGATATAAATAAATAAATAAACATTTAAAACATGTTTAAAGATCTTTCAACCACAAATGTCCCAGTCCCTATGCTTCCAACTCACTTCACTGGTCCTCTTAGTCCAATATCTTTATAACCTCACGAAACCTTTCCTTATTATCTATCCTATACTCTCTCACCCACCCGCTCACTCTCATCTCTGTTTAGAGTCATGGCTCTTTCCTGTAATCGCTCCCTTGCAAATTCTTTCCCACAAACTCTAGGTTTCCAGCTATTCATTTGCACCCAAGCAGCTGCATGTTCTTGAAGAATCCACTGGTCACGATGTTGGAGTTTCTTTTACGTTTATGAACGCAAAGCTCAGTGGGTACTCACCACTGACTGCCGAACACTTGCCAGGATCTTCACCTGCTGCTCTCTGTGGAACACTGTTCACACTTTCTCCTCACTCCACAAGCTTCCTGTATCTCCCCTTTCTTCACGTCAGTGGACAATCTTGACCTGTAGCTCATGAGAAAAAGAGCAATCCTTCAAAACCCCCTCATCTTCTTGCTAACAAAACTTCCAACTTAAATTGGCCCATACCCATACCCTGCACCTTTCCTTCTGTTCCTGCTG